ACAGACTTGAAAGAGCAAGCGAAGGTGCACATAGTTGCGTGGGGCGCACTAAGGCTAACGCTGTTTTTGGATCCAGCCATCAAGCAAGTGGGCAGCAAGGGAGATTCCTTGCGCCGCGCTTTGTCTGATATTTGGGCACAGCGTGGCGACAACGAAGGCTTGCTTTCTGCCCTTGGGGAGGATGTGGCGAAAGACATCGTAGAAACCATGAAGCCAAAGGGAGGGGAGGACAGCTCGCAGCCGAAGAAGAGGGCCAAGCGCGCAAATCCGGCAAAGCAGTGATGTCGAACAATTGAGAGCTCTGCGCGGCTGCCAGCCAGACCAATTTTGATCGGCAGACATTTTGCAGTTGCGGCTGTCAGCCAGAAAGTTTGCCTCGTGTTTGGTGGTTCACCCAGGCCCATGCCCATGCGCCCATGACAGGGAGCCGACGGAAGGAAAATGCAGCTTTACAGCCATGTAAACTGCAACCCATGGGCTATGCTATAGGCTATAGGCTAGCAGTGTGTCCCAGCGTATTCCACCAAAGCGTTCAGACAGATTCTCATTCAACTAAGATAGAGACCAGTCGTAGTTGGAGATTTGAGCGGCCAGTCCGCTGAACGCCAGTATCAGCAACCGGACTGTTAACTCTGTCAGTGAGCCATGCGAAGTGTGTCTTTCTAAGAGGAGATGACCTTAAAGGGGCGGTGGGGAAGCCTACCAAGCAGATCGAACTTCCGCCAAGCTATGCAAAAAAGAAAACTGTAGAGAAGTAAAAGTTTCCAGAAATTCAGAAATCAGACATTTTCAGGAAGTTTTCAGAAGTTTTCACCAAATAAATCCGACATTGTTCACAAAGCGTCCGGCTGCCAGCCAGAAGTGGAAAGTTTACACTTGCGTTGCAAAATTCGCCATGTAGCCCCGTTTTGGCTCTCATCTCGGCGCACCAAAGCAAAAACATAGCCCAGGCTACCCACATGCTGCTTTTCAAATGGAAACACCATCAGAACAGCAGATTCGGGGAGTGGCTGGTCGTGCTGGATGATGGGCGGCTACTCTTTCGGCGCATCACGCGCGGCAACAATGTTGCTTGGGACGGCCAGGGCCGCTATGAGCGGCTGGACGGACCTGGCCGTTTTTTTCGCCTCCTTGGCTTTCGTTGTTGCGCTGGCGCCAGGGTTTGGAACCTCCTCTTCATGCCTGACCCTGTGCGATCTGTCTTTGGTGAAAGTGTCTGGACTGACCAAGAGCGCCATCGGTCTGCTTGGCTCTTTGGCACAGCATCTATTCCAGAGCTGACCTTTGACAACTTGGAGCAGCAGATTGCTATGGCGCCAGGCCAGAAAGCACGTGCTTTGAGGGCGCGTTTGTTGGCTCCACCTCCGGCAGCGCCCCCAACAGCGCCAGGACAAGATGATGATGATGATGATGATGACGATGGGTATGTTTGGGTGTAGGCCGAGGGTTTATGCTATTGGAATCGGCCATTGCCTCGAAGCCCCTGCAATGCATCTTCTAGGGCCAGTTTACAAGCTGATGCTTTCGAAGCGCGTTGTTTGATTGGAATCAGGGCGCTTTGGGCAAAAGTGGCCTGAGTAGCAAGAGCGTTACGGGCTTTCCGGCTGTCAGCCAGGTTCCAGCTGTTAGCCAGATTCCGTCGCGGCAAAGGCCAAGGCGCTCTGTGCAGCCAGCCAGGGCGAAGACAACTGCGACCCGAAGGGAAAAGGTATCCTGCGTGGGCACCCGGGCTCTTTGCTGTCTCCAGCCCGTGCGCACTTCACCATAGTGCGCTTTTGGGGCTAAGCGCCCAAACATAGTGAGCCGCTTGAATCTGTGAGGGTTCTGACTGAATGTTGAACTTGTTGAACGCGCTCCGGGCATGCAGCGCGCGCGGGGCAAGTCAATCTTCAGCAGCCTCAGCCTCAAGCATAGTATCATCTAGATTTGTATGGCGGCTTCTTCTAACCGGCTGACAGCCAGCTCAATTTCCGCCAATGATGTTAAAACAAGTAAAGTTCTATAGTTCTATTTTCATAAATTTCCGAATTTCCGCCAAACGATGTAAAAAAGTAAAGTTTTCAGAAATTCAGAAATTGTTAATTTCCGAATTTCCGCCAAATGATGTAAAAAAGTAAAGTTTTTCAGACATTCGGAAATTGTCAATTTCCGACTTTCCGCCAAACTATACATAAAATTGAAGTTTTTCAGTAATTCAGAATTTGTTAATTTCCGAATTTCCGCCAAACTATGTTAAAAAGAGTTTTTTTTCAGAAATTCAGAAATTGTTAATTTCCGAATTTCCGCCAAATGATGTAAAAAAGTAAAGCTTTTTCAGAAATTCGAAAATTGTTAATTTCCGACTTTCCGCCAAACTATACATAAAAGTATAGTTTTTCAGTAATTCAGAAATTCTTAATTTCCGAATTTCCGCCAAATGATGTGAACAAGTAAAATTGTCAGAAATTCAGAAATTGTTAATTTCCGAATTTCCGCCAAAAGTAAGATTTTTCAGAAACCCGAATTACCGACTTTCCGAATTTCCGCCAAAACGAATTTCCGACAAGCCTTGAAACCCTCTTACAGACTGTAGGTCTTGGATTCACCTAATATATAAGTATCTTAAAACCAGGGATCAGGGGAACCAACAATTCCACACAGATTTGATTCCCATCCCTGTTGCCGTTGACGACCCAGCTCAACTGGCCCTCAATCTTTCGAGGTCGACACTGACGCGTGGGGATGGGAACGCTAGAGTTCTTTTTTCCTCGCACAAGCGCACGCAGTCATCGAACGGACAGACTCGTAGACAGACTTGATGTCTGTGATGACATCCACCCTGGGAGTCAAAGACAAAAACAAGAATGGTTTTTAGGTGGCACGAAAAGGAATGTCCTTTACTTCAGTCAGTCAAAATATAGTCGAACTGGACTTCTAGGGTCCAGTCAGAAAGCCCTCCCACGAGTCGGAAAGCACTCTCTCCGAACCGGTTCTTCACCAGACTTCGGCGGGGCGGGTCCGCGGCACGCAGGTGAAGACCCCATTCCCTCTTGGCCGCTCGGAGGGCGGGGGATGGCGCCGGTCGAGTGGAGTGGAGTTCATGTTCGTTCGCGAGTCGAAGGCCTGGCCCAGAGGATCGTGGGCCATCGAATTTCAGTTTTTGTGCCAAGTGTTGCCATGCCATTCATGACATGGGTGGGATGTGTTTGGGGGGATGGAAATGATATGAAATGATCACCAACTAAGAGCAAATAGGAGTATGATCGGCCTGTCCCAGCAGCCAGACACAACATGAAGTGCGATGATAGACCGGGCAGCCTCAAAATCGTTTTGATACCAAACGTTACCGATCCCCAGGAATGAATTTGGAGAAGTTCAGCGGTTTGGCAACACCTCTCCTCGTCCTTTGGACACTGGTACTACTGGTGCCCGGTGATCCAATGTGCTGAAAAAGCGAAGAACACCTGTGGTCGACGCAAGGCTCTCCTGAGACAGGATGCTAGGCTCTCTTTACCTTTGTCTCTCCCTCTCTCTATCTCTGTCTCTATCTCACACGTGAATACATCCATACATTTATACATCCATACGTTTATCCATGCATAGTCATGCATATATCCGTATCATACCATACCATACCTAGGGTCTGTCGTATTCCCTGCAAGAGTCAGTAACTAATTATCACTAATTTGAACAAGGCCTTGTACTAACCATCATCATCCACGGTTACTGGTATATACTGTAATAGGATAGACCCAAACCATACCATAATTGTCATACTATACAATACATGCATACCATACATATACATACCCTATATACATAAATACCGTACGTACATGCCATGCCATGCCATGCATGCATGCATGCATTCATTGAGTCATCATGTGAGCACAAGTCAAGCCATTATAGCTACTGTGACACAGCTCATACGAAAAGCAACATTTCATTGGCACCTTTTTATGTGCAACCTGTGCAATTGAATTGGTGGGCCCAATCCTGGGCCCTTCAAGCGCTACATACCCTCATGAGCATCGGGTTGACCCGCTTAGTTGAGCAGCGGGGTTCAGTACTTCCCAACAAACAATGTGAAGAGAGGTTTTGGACATTATCAGTTCGTTGTTTGCTTCCTTGGGCCACTTGTTGAGGATCCTCCGCCGCTCGCAAGTGAAGCCCATTGCACTGCCCTATGAGGGACCCGGCTTGGATGGGCGCTCCTGCGTGCTTTGGGCGGCACTTTTGCTCTTCGTTTTTTGGATGGGCGCATCCCTGAAACAGATCCCTTCAGCGGACCCATATTCTGATCATTTTGATTGGATCGCTTTGCTTTGTGTTCTTTTGCTTTACTTTCTGCCTCCCGGAGCTGTCTATAATCGCATTACTCGCCCCAGGCTCGAGTGGATGAGGCCTTGGTCCAGTGAAGCCCCGAGAATGCTCGGATGATGGGGTGGCACTCCAGATTGGGGGCACCCCACCACATCTTCTAGTCAGTACAGATGGTTGGAGTCGAACTGACTGCTGACTGGGCTCACCTGGACCTGTGGCCTTTGAGCGGAAAATCTGGCTCGCAGGGACGCCCGCTCCGGCGGCTGAGCGGAGCGGTGAGTGACTTCAAGAGAAGCACCGCTAATTGGTGGCAAGGCGCAGGTTGCCTACGGACATGGACCCTGACCCTGAAGAACTTTAAGCCTTATATGACTCATGTGCCACTCATCAACCTATATATGATGCGATATGATGTAATATGTTGCGTCATTCCAGCCATTCCCAGTTCCCAGAGCTGGCTCGTTTCGTCCAGGCAGGAAGGATCAAAGAACCCTGAGAGGTCTGAACCCTGAGACTGCAAGGAGCCAAGGGCAATGACACCTAGTAGCGTCCGGACGCTACGAACGTAGCTCCTGGCCTTACTACGAACGGAGCAAGAGGAGTGCATTTGGACCTCGCAGGTCCCAAGTACCACACCGATCCGCCCGGGAAACACTTCGGAGTGCTTCCTCAGTCCCTTCCTTCAGCTGGTGACCGAGGCGCGGCTTCAAGACCTCACCTGGCAACTCCTTGACGCTTCGGAGGCCTTGGCACTGCAGCGGCGCCGCGGGCGCTTGCTGTGGACCGACCGGGATCGACGGCGAGGCGCGCGGCGCGCGAGCGCCGCGGAGCGGGTTTGTTGGTCCCAGCGTGATGGAGCGATCCATGTAGAATGGGGAACAGGATCCAAATCAGGCCAGCTGAACCAAAGAGCCAGTGGAAATTGTTGGTCAGGTCGGAAGGGCATTCTTGCGGCGGGGCCCAGGGGCTAGAGTCGCTAGAGTCCAGAGTTGCTGGCCACTGTTTCCGCTTTTTCCTTTGCCATTGCTTTCTACCGGTCTTCTTGGTGGGGCCCGTAAAGGCAGAACGCCTAGGGCTTTGGACAACCACCGGAACCAGTACCGGAGGCCGCGGTCCTTCCATATTCACCTCTAAGAGGTCTCGTAACTGTGTGTGTATCGGGGGTCGTGTGAGCAACATGTTGGCAGCTTCTCCAGGAGTAAAGACATTGGTAGTGTTGAAAGAAGAAAGGAAGTTCATTCCAATCATCAGCTTCAGGCTACGTGGAGCAGGACGAGGAGACTTTGAGGCAAAAGTCGAGTGTCCGCCATTTCTTGGCCTGTTTTGTGCAAAGGGTCACTTCATACAGAATCTCCCCTCGTGCTGGGGAGATGCTGAGTGCTGGGGAGAGGTCTTCGCACGATTGGGGTTTTGGTGCATGGGGATTTGGCGGGCGTTCTATGGGCCACCGGAGGGGTGAAGAACACCTGCCAAGGAGTTGGATTTTATGGCAGCAGATCCCAAGAGAGGGATGAAGAAGATGATCCCAGCCAAACAAAGGTCCTGCCAGTCTTGCCAGCACCTGCCTTAATTCTTCGTTTGCGTTTGTCCGACGCAGACATGTTCAGGCACATGGAAGGTCTTTGCGATCGTGGCGTGCTGATGATGCCTCTTTGCAATGAAAGATGGGTTTCGGGAAACGACTCATCACAGAAGCGTAGATGTGCAGGACTCAACCTCACACATATGTATACACACGAATGTGTAAGAAAGAAGATCAGCACAGCATTTGTGATGCAAGCATGATTGAGCCCTTGGCCCTGTGTGACAATCACGCGAACATGTTGGCCACTTGATCAGACTCTTATATGGTCACTGTGGCCTCAAAGGCCTTAGACCCGGCCATGCCAAGGTCCTGCATTTTGCCGCCATCCTCGTACTTTACAATGGCATTCCGTGAGCTGACCCGGCATGAAACCATTTGGACAGGATTTACCCAAGAAGAGATGGAAAAAGGTGGGAAAGCCGACGCATATCAGCCACGTGGACAAGTCAGATCACCCATGGTCACCTCAAAAGGCCCACGTGTACTGCTCCTGGAAGCAAGTCAGTTGCTTGGTGCGAGCTTGCTGTCGCAGAAAGGTTCGCTTACACATGACCCCAAGCGGCAAGACTGCGTAACAATTGGTATAGTAACATGACATGTGTGCGTATAGCACAGCGGGGCGACCCCAAAGCCACTAACCAGTGGCTTGACGATAGAATAGGCCTCCCCCTCTTGAATGCAACACCGAATTCCGTTCAGCAGCACACACACTCTCAGAGAAAGTCGACCTCACACGTGGCTGGGCTCTGTAGCACCGCCACACAGCACCTCTTTTTTGGAAGCAGGTGGACACCCAGTTTGGGCAGATATCGCCCCAGGCACGGCTGGTTTTCCCGTGTCGGCCATGGCGGGTGGGGCAGTGCAGGGATTCTAGAAAGGCCAAAGGAAAGGTTGTGCGGGGGATTCGAGAAGTCTGATTTTAAGAGAGTGTGGGCCAAATGCACAACTTGGACAGAACCCTCAGATGCTACAGACAGAACCCTCATCAAACGTCCAACAAAGTGGAGGGATCACGGGGCACTTGGCTTGGCTAGACAGTTATACATGTGTTACATCAGATCACGAAAGCTAGCTGTAGATACCTGATAGCAAGGAGGGTGGGAGCCGAGGACCTGAGTGCAGATACCTGATTTATCAGGCTTTACCCCCCCCCCCGCGGGTTCAACTCCACCCTTCTCCTCAGTACCTGCTGCTGCTTGGTCTCTTGCTGCTTGCATGCTTGGTGCTGCTGATTGCCTTTGGCTGCTTGCTGGTTGCTGCTGACGTGTTGGGGCATGAGCGAAGAGTTCGGTGGGGGAAGCGGGTGATGAAGAGTTTGGTGATGTTTGGTGGAAGCATGGCAGTAGTTGAGTTTTCCCTTTGTGCATCCTATATTAACTATATTATTGTCACGCTGCCCCAACTCGTGTCATGGTACGGTTGATGCCATTCATGCGGTTCAGGGTTGCTGCACTTGGTGCAACGCAACGAATAGACACCCTCAGGTGAGGCGTGGTTTGGTTCTCTTGAGGTGACACTTGGTCAGGAATCGAGGTGCGCCTACTAGGTTGCCGAAAAGATCGCACCTGCAACGCAATTCTTCCCGCTTCTTTCCTTCTCTCCTTCCCCAACCACTTGTCCCTCCCTAGCTTTCGCCGCCCCCCCCTGGGCCACAAGTAAAATTATGGCACCTCAAACGTCTATAATACTTCATAACACTTCGATAGTTCGCCATATATACACAGCCACATCAATTAGCACTGACGAGGTGGGATTTCTTATGATTTCTTGATAGAAATCAATCAAGTCAAATCGTGTTAGAATTATATAGTAGAATTCGATCTTCACTGGCAGACCTGGGCCAGGATATGGCAACTCTACAGTTGCGATTGGCTCAAACAGAGGGCGATGCAAGGCCAGTAATGGGAGTACATGGCAGATGTGACTCAGGTTGAGAGAGGAATCTTTGAATCGGACATTCCTATGACCATCAACCCCCACACAGCCATGTCACATGGGACCACAGAGGTGGATTCAAAGCTGAAAACCAGAAGGTGTGCGATGGTTTCGACCCCAGATTCCGTGGGTCGACTCTTGGATAGATCTTGACCGAAGCGGACGATTCCGTCCGTGATCGACCGGTCGATCCGTTTCACCTTTGCGGGTCAGGTCGCGGTCGCGTCTCCAAACCGTCGATCCGTGGTGCAGACACCTCTATACACACCTGCGGACACCTGCCTACGAGGAAGCCCATGGAAAAGGTCCTCGGACAGATCCAGAAGTCCATGGAGCCGGTTGCCTTGGACGGCGGACGGAAGGTGGAGCGTGGACGACAAACCCTTTCATTTCCATTGGCTCGACGTGAGTGGATTTGATGTTATGAAGTCTGAACATGGGCATGGCGTATGGATCTTGGATTTTTGCTTTGACTCAGGTTGTAAAACAAAGACTGGCCCATGCGCAAAACCGGGGCCGTGTTCAGTTTGGCACACACGGAACGTGCTATTTATTATGTGGTGATATGTGGTGCCTCTTGTGACAAGCTGGTAACTGAAGTAGCCAAGGACCTGAAAAGACCCCATACAGGATCTGCCATATCTTTATGCCTTGTTGGCCATTTCCTGGGGGCCCTCCTGGAAGTGTTGAAGAATTGGCATCTGCAACATGCGCGGCGCACGAGATTCGTCACATGTCGCACGTAAGGGCTCGGATGGAGGGTGCCACCAAGGAGATTGAGGCCCACCGGGGGGCGGAGAAGGCGCCAAAATCCACGCGGCCCTTCACGAGAGGGTTCGTTACGCCATGTTGAAAACCCTGACGAATCTTGATGAATGATTCCCCCCTTTGGATGCACTCACTTGCGGTCCATGGGCGCTTCCACATCACCCCTTGCCGTGTCTTACGGCGGGTATGAGTGGAGTGGGTGAAAAGCTCAGATAGCAAAATGTACAGAACAAGCTAGGACCAACCACTATACAGAGAAGAAGCTACGAACAAAAGCGAGTGGCACAATTGCAATGACCACATGTACATAAGGCCGGCGAGCTTATCAAGAATTAATGTACATGCATACTCTGGATCAACCTAATTTAAACTAATTATTCGGATGTGGGATGGAGTCAAATGACTTTTTCCTGAAAAGGGCGTTACGGACATTCTGAAGGAATTTTTCCTTTTTATTCCCCACATCTCTGTGTGGGGTTCTAGTTTTGTTGGCTGGCATCCCGCCCGCATCCGCCGGTCCTTCCTTCCTTCCTTCCTTCCGTCCTCCTCGCCCCCTCCTCAGTCACTCACTCACTCACTCACTCACGCACGCACGCACGCACGCACGCACGCACTCACTCACTCACTCACGCACGCACGCACGCACGCACTCACTCACTCACTCACTCACGCACGCACGCACGCACGCACGCACGCACTCACTCACTCACTCACTCACTCACTCACGCACGCACGCACGCACGCACGCACGCACGCACTCACTCACTCACTCACTCACTCACTCACTGCACACTCACACTCCCAGCAGTCTCCAGAGACTCAGTCACTCACTCACTCACTCACTCACTGCACACTCACACTCCCAGCAGTCTCCAGAGACTCAGTCACTCACTCACTCAGTCACTGACTCACTCGCTCACTCACTCACTCACTCCACTCACTCCACT